ATTTTTTTGGTGGCAAAAAGTACTTCAGTCTGTCTTGTTATTTGTGTGAGTATGCATGTATATGTTTACTCAAAAAGCTTAATTTTTTTAGACATTAATTGCCTAAAAATTATGAAGAAAAATAATTTTTACATAAACGGGGTTGTATAAATGCAATATGGGCTGCACAGAAATATTTTAAAAATCAGCACAAGAACAAATAATAATAAAAACAGGAAAACATCCCTACAGTCTGTGAATCAGTCTGGTATAAAATCCTTTGTCTGTGCTGAACAGGACAAAGATCTGAACTTCTTTACTGCCAGCAGTCTCCTTCCTTTCTGTGCCAACATAACAAGGGAACGGTATGTTGTACAGAGAGAATGCGGGTGGAAAACATAAAAAAAAATGTGATAAGACCAGGCTGTGAGGAGAAGAACACTGAGCACTTCAGACAGCTCAGATGTTCAGAGATATTTTCCCGTTTGGCTAGCCAGTCCCTTTGTCTCCCTGTCTCAGCTGTGTGCTGTGGTCCTGTGTCAGCCTTCCTTACCTCCCGAGCTGCTCCTGGTTGTCCAGCACAGCTCCGTGTGGAATCTTGCTGGCCTTGTACAAACACAGCATTGAGGCATTTCATGCCAGTGGAACATACCTTCCTTGGCCTGACTTGGCCCTGAATGCTCTGTACTCCAGCCTGGCAGACCCCCCTGGACTTGCCCTGCTGCCAGCTTTCCTGCTGGGAAGGGCTTGTCAGGCTGTCCTCATCCCAGCTCTCTCTCTCATGATCCCTCTCTCTGTTGCCACAGCTCCAAAGTTGCCATTTTTGGGACACTGGCTTCATTTAGTGATGGAGGTATTGGAAGCACCTCTGCACGGGGGACTCAATGGTAGAGCATCAGTGCAGGGTGTTCCTTTTGATCACTTGGGGGTTGTTTGTACCTTAAATACAGGCCCCTGTGAGATAAGAAGCTGAAGTTGTTGCACCACACTGAATTACATTGATGTAATCATGTCGTCGACTTTTTCACCAAAGATGCTTATTAAAGATAATTAGGGTCAGCAAAGTTGAGCAGAGCATAAAGCCAAAGAACTGCAGTTCTGTAATATGTGCTGCAGTTTGATTTCATTTTTTTGGGGAGCATAAAAAACCACCTTGCAGTATTTTGTGGGTGCCATGTTAATGAATAATCAGTGTGGCTACTGCTGCCAGAATTGACAATACCTATAGAGGCTGGAGACTGTCACAGTGTGTGGGTTGCTGGGGGTCTCACTGCATTTTTAGGAGGGGGTAACTAACATTACTACAAGCAAAATAAATTCCTTTTGGAGGTTGCTGAATGGTGTGGAATCATTGCAGAGTCACTCAGAGGTTTCCAATAACACATTAAATGGATTAAGTTTTTCATTGTCATAAAAAAAAAAATCAGTTTTCAGGCATTAAAACACAGAACAGGGGACTTGGTAAGGAAAGGCAAGTTTAACTAACATAATAAAAATTCCTACCCACTTTGAGGCTTATTGAGAGTATCCTGTATTTCCCCTTTAGAGACTTGAAGGTGTAGGACCCGTTCCCTTGCTCTGGGAAGGATGCAGGTGAGAATTCCCTTGTGGAGGTGATCTGCTCAGGGCAGTACGAGAGGAGAACATCACAGGTGGGATGGACTTATTTCCTGCTTCCACAGTTTCTCCTGTGAAAAAGGTTAAATGGAAAATGAAATATTTTTCTGGTGACAAGAGAATAAAGATTTATGCTTTAATGGATCAGCATAAGGCACATGTACAAAGCTGCCTCTGTTGGTAGCTCAAATTTCCTGCTTGCACTATTTTTACAGAAAGAAATTACTCTAAAGCAGAAATTTACATCTGTATAAAAATTTTAACATTTCATTATCCAGCTTCATTATTAAAACTCAAACTGTGCTTTAGGGATTAGACACATGTGTCCTTAGAAAACAAAGTAAAATATGAGTATTATTTTTCTGCAGTGATAAAGTAATGAATAAAGATATCTGCTCCAGGAATTGCAGTAATTGAGAAGCACATTCCTTTCTCTGGAAAATGTCAATGTAGAGGAGACAGCTTTGCATAGCATATATTACTGATTTAAATATTTAATGCTAGTTTGTGGTGGAATGTATGAAAAAACATTGTAAATTAATCTAATACTTGAACAATGTCTTGTGCACATTGTAAGCAAATCCCAGCAATACTGGCTGCAGATTTCCTTTGACATTTTATGTACACCAATTACATTATCTTTGCTGCTGCATAAGAGAGAAAAACCATTTGTTGACTCTTTGCAGTATAAACCAATATCAATATTCAGCATTGGAAACAAATCTGTAATTCTGCTAGCAAGCAAACTGAAAGGTTATGGTTTTAAAAGAGCAGTAGGTCAGAAACAGATTTTAACACTTCCTTAAAGTCATTTGACAAAATGTTTTAGGTAAATGTGAAAGAATTTCAGAGAAAATCCTTCAGTAGCCTGTAGTAGGTCACCTTTCCCACCAGGCAACGTACTGAGCTGCCAAGGCTAAGACTAATGAAATAGATTGTTATTAAATCCTTCCAGAGATACTGCATGGGTTGTTTGGGCTTTTCGACTACCTATATGCGTCAGTGTAATGAGAACTTGGCAGAGGGCCTGGGCTCTTTGACACCTTCAAGGATGTCGCTGGAAGAGCCCTGAGGTTTTGTCTTCCTTGGAAACAATGCTGTGGGAAGGTCAGATCTGCTCATCAGAGCAGAATTTATTCTTCAGCCATTGCATGAGTGCACTTGGGATTTTGTTCCAGAGACCTATGTTTAAAGATGCTTGGAGGCTTACAGATACATAAGAGACCCATTTCTTATGTGAACTTGCTTCAGTTGCTGGAAAGTCCAGTTGCTGGAAAATCCTGCCAGAACCTAATCTGTTTGATGCGCTGAAGCTTCTTATCAACCTGTTTTGACTGAAGGAAGTGTTCACTTCTCCAAATAGTTAAAATAACTAATTCAGTTCTGGGAGCAGCAAAGCTACAGTCCTTGTAAGAGAATTTATGCCACAATCATGGTCAAAGCCAATTTGGACATGGCTTCTTGGTGCTGTGCATCCATACATGTGATTTCAAATAATCATGACAATTGAGCAGCTAGGCTATTAATTCAGGTGCTTAAGTACATATTTGAGGACATCTGGTTAATTTAGGACATCTGTGGGTTGATTTGAGTCACTATGATTGTGAGCACTGATGTCCTGTGTGCAGATGGAGGCTAAAATCTGCCTGTTAGAAAGTGTTGTAAGATGTCTCACCACAGGATATGGCCTCTCTCCTGACTTTCTTTCAGCAATGAAATACAGGTAAATGTTGCCATGAGCTCGGTGGCCCTAATTATTCTTATGGTGTGCACAGAACACAAAGTGACTGTTCAGTGTGTGGAATGGAAAGCGAGTAAACAGCAGAAGAGCATTTTGTGCCAACAGATGGAGAGTAGCTTGGTGTGCCTTGTAGGTGCCCCCCACTGCTGTGGGAAGCACAAGGTCATGCTCTGTACAGCCTGTGGTGCTCTTTGCTGTCTCACAGCACGGGGCTGTTGAGGGTCCATGAGGATGTCTGTGGGCATACATGCTCTGTGAGCTTGGGACCACGTTCCCCTGGACCAGAGGGACTGGCCTAGCAGTGAGCTGCTGTGGCTCTGTACCCCATGTGCTGCTCTCCAGTCTGTCCTTCAGGCTGCAGTGCTCCCAGCCAACACCTCCCTGGTTCCCTAATGATTCCAGCATCCTCAGGTGGCAGGTGCTGCCAGCCCCCAGTAGTTCTTGTTTGTGTGGCCTGCTGCTCATGGTGGCTTTGGGTGTTCTGCAAACAGCACAAACCCCCCCCCCCCCCGGGCATGCAGAGCAGCAGGAGTGTTTGGGAATGGCTAACCTACAAAAACTGAGAAATGGGAGGAGGAGTGGTTGCTTGCCTGTAAGTGCTTCCCTTAATGGACCTGCATCTGTGTCCTTTCTCCTCATACACCAGCAGTACTTTCCAGTGTCTGACATCTTGGGAACTGCATGTCCGTGTTCAGCGAGACTTTGCAGAAACCTTCTTGGTTTTGTCCCCTCTCGACAGCCATTCTATGGATGACCCTCAATGACTGGTATCTTCAGCCATCAGCTTCCTGCTTGGCTGCTCTCACCAGCACAGGACAGGCAACTCCTTTTGTTTGTGAGAGGACAGAAGGAGCAAGCTTAGGGCTTTCTTTGAACATTTTTCAATTACTAAATGTCGGGAAAAAAATAAGCTTAGTACACTAAAAAAATGCACTAGCAGATGCACACTAGATCTAGTTGGTTTTGAAGAATAAAGAAAAATTAAGGACAGTATTTCTTTGGTTGCTAGGATGCCTTTTTATCATTGAATTCAGTGTGCTTTGGGGTTGTTATTTTTATTTAGATGTGTGACTCATTTATTGTGGTTAGAGCATTGTTACAGTGTATTCTGACAATAAATTTAAGTAAAAGAGACAGTTCGGTAACACTTTGATGAGAAAATTAGGTCTGGAGTGTAGACTGGACCAGGAGTTTAGTATTTCTTTGAGGGAAAAATAATAAAGAGAATCTGTGACAGAAATTTGGGGTTATTCTTTACTGAAAATGCTATAAGTGGCGTTTACTAGGATATTTGTCCCTGAAATTAATTCTGTTTGCACAGAGACGCTTTGCATCTTGTGCAGCTGAGAAAAGCAGCCTGAATTCAAGGCAGCTATTTTCCTGCTAGCATTCCCATCCCGGGCGGGAGCTTTAGCATCACAGAGGGAAATAGATGTCTGGCTCTTTGTCCCCTGCTCCTTGTGACAAAGGCGCTGCCATCCGAGCGGCGGTGCGGTGTCCAGGCCCCCTGCGAGCGCTGGGTGAGCAGCAGTCGGTCTGTGCGGTGTCCTGACGTCATCCCGTGTGTGCACAGCTCCGCTATTGTCTCGGCCGAGCGGGGCTGCCGAGTGCGGTGTCTGCGGCTCACAGCCCTCCTGCCCGCCGCTAGCGCACAGAGGACAGCGGCCTGCCCTTAGCACGCGGATTTAAACACAGCCTCCTGCCTTTTGCTTCCTGTACAAGGACCTTCCTTCCCTGCGGTTGCAAGGAAAAGCTGTCTGCGGCGTGGAGCGGAGCAGAGGAGGAGAGAGCAGAATCTGGCAGCTTGGATAGCCTGGACTGCATTGTCTGGCTTCATGACCCCTGCTGTGTAGCAGTCTCATCCCCTCTCTCATACGCTCCCTCTGTCTTCCACTCTTTTTTCTTCTTTCCTTTTTAAAATAGCAGCATCTGAGGCGAGCCATGTTTGGCACTGAATCGTCATGTAAGTAAATGCATCCCATTTACATCCTTTTTCTGTGAGAACAGGGCTTGTTTTATCCTTGCTGTACCCGCCACGCTGCATTCTCTTTGCCGTAGGTCGTTGGCTAAAGCTGTGGTCCTTGCCTGCTTATGGAGGGATGGAGGATGCTGGAGGGGAAGCATCTACCTGCTAGCCGTGGGTGCATCCTCGATGCAAGCAGCAAGGAGCTAGGGCTGTCAGTGCTGCTGAATTCAGGCCACTGGAAGATTGGGGGGAAAAGGCAGTTTTCCTTGGATGTGGCAGTTGATAAGATCGCATCTGTCAGTGATCAGGAGTTGCAGGCACTCTAATGAATGCACTGCTCAGATGGTGCATTTGGCGACTGAGAATGCTGCAGTATCAGATGGGTGAGAGCTGGGGGAAAGTGATTTAACCATCAGGAAAAGACTGCTATCTCATGCCTATCTCATTTACTTCATTTTTGTCTGTGGGAGAAAAAAAGCTTCTCTGCAATTTCCCCCCTTCCCCCTTGTGACTGCAGAATGCACAATTAAATTAGGTGGAATTCTAAATATGAGGTGAAAAATGCAAAAGAAAAGGAACATTTATTCTTTTTCTTCCTCATCTTTGTGCTGGAAAATCTTAACCAAGGCGGTCTGCTGTATAATAGCAGTGCAGATGCATGTCATTGAAAGCAAGCCAATTCTGCTTCGATGGGAACAACAATTACCTACCTGGCAAATCCGGCTGCAGAGGAAGGCTGGGGGTTTATGTATAAATAATGTTGCTGGTGACAGTGTGGCTGTGTGGGGACCAGTCTGATCCAGTGATTATTGGATGAGGGAAAAACAGAAAACAGTTGGTTCATGCTGTATTTTGTGCACAAAACAGTACTGGGTGTTGAAAACATGTCTCATTTGGATATGAAGGGATGGCTTTTTTAGAGCATTGTCACATCCAGCATGGTGTAATGTCTCCACACTTCTGGGCTGGGACCTGTTCTGTGGCTCATCTCTTCCTAGGAAATTACAAGAGCATTGGGATGCCTCATAATTATGCCTTCCTGGCTGTCGAACCCCTTGCTCCCAAAGGGTTAATTGTTCCTGTGACCAGGCTCTGGCAGCTCCCCCCTCCTCTGCCACAACACCCAGTCAAGGTCAGGCAGCATAAAAACAAAATTTGCCTTTAGATTTCTTTTGTTTAGGGATGCATTTTTCATGCACAGTTGTAAACATGTCTGCAGCTCTGGGTCATCAGAGCATGAACAGAGATGCCAAATGTTGTAGCTGCATCTGTTTCACCCTGACAGATCTGTGAGCCCCAGCGTCTGTGTCTGTGGGCTCTATTTCTGCAAAATGCACATGAACAGGCTTTGAGATAAAATCTGTGCCCCACCTGTCCTCTAGCAGAAAGCCATAGGATGCACTTGTTCATTTTCGTGGTCCTTTCTTGGTTTACAAGGTGCATTGGCTAAAGTCACAGGGGTTGTGCACCAGCAGCTGTGGCTGCTTTTGTTTCCATGGTTCCCACAATTTAGAAAAGGGCAATGGAAGCTTCCATATCAGCCACTATCTGTTTCCCAGAAGGGTCTAGAAACATTTCTTGCTTTTAAAAATGGGATTAAACAGAACATGGCTCGTTGCCATAGATTTGAGCAGAGGCTACGGTCAGTCTCTGCCTGAACTCCCTGGGCAGATGAAGAGGAGGGCAGTGCGGTGGCCAACTCCCCTGAACTCTGCTCAGGCCTGAACCTGAGCCCAGGAGTTCCTGTTGTGGCTGGACAGGGCGGTCCCTTTGCCTGCTGCTGCCAGGTTCTGCAGGCAGGAGGAGAGCAGGGTCACTGGTGCTGCCCCGCTCACCTGCCCTGCCCGTGCGGGTCAGAGCTCGCCGAACCAGCCCTGCCCTCGCTGCTGCTGGGGGAACAGTGGCTTTGCTTGCAAAGAAAGAAGCTCGGATCAAAATTACTTCAGTCAAAATGCTAAGAGGTTTTTTGTCTTCCCTCTCCTCCTGTCGTCTTCATATTTCCAGGCTGTCAAATGATAACAGTGCTACTAATTGTTAATGTTTCTGTCTGGCTAGAGCATCAAATAAGACAAAAAAGAGTCCGCATTATTTGGACATTGGAAATATGTCAGAAGCCATTGCTGCTGCTGCTGCTGCTGCTGTCCAAAAAGCATGAAATGAGCAGATTACAGTTTTTTTTAATCCTGCTGTTTACCCTTAGTATTTAGGATTTCATTTCTCTCTGCTTTGATTAAAAAGCCAAGAAGAATGGTCAGAAGCAAATACTGGTTCAGAACCTTTAGTCTCACTCAGTATCAAAATATTTTAAATGTCAAACTAACTCTCCTTTGGCAATCCTGTTTGTTTCTTTTTGCTTTTAGCAGCCGTTAGAAGGGCAGTAAAAGATAGTCTGAGAGTCTTTGTAGGAACAGGCATCTGCTTATCACCTCCTGGATGCAGGGAAAGACAAACAGCCGCTGACAAGAGCCCATAAAGGGGGATAAGGCAGCAGGCGATGCACAAACAGCTGCTGACACTCCCAGTACGTGATGAGCAAGGATAGAGTGTGCAAAGCAAAACCCCAAGAAGTGTCTGTGCAAGGGCACTGTGGGAGGGTAGGGTAGTTGCCATGGGGTCCTGGTCAGTATTTTCCATTGGTCATATGTTCTTTCTATAATCCCCACAGGAAACATATGTGGCAGAGAGGCTTCATCTTCAGATGCACTGCCAGGGAGGTGTGGAGGGCTCTGTGCATGGGGGGCAGCTTTTCATCCCATCCCACCACTCCTGCTGACCTGAAAGATTTGTCTGCTCACCATAATCATTTCACATTCTGTAGGAGGTAATCTGGTTTGATAAAAAATTGAGAATTAAGTATTTTTTAAGGTGAAATGGTGTTGTAGGGCTGCACCAAAGCAGAGAAGTGGTGGACCTCTGAACAAGTGATGAGGTGGTCCCCACAAGTAAAACAAGCACCCTCATCTCAGGGAGAAGAGCCCAGAAGAAATAAGCAGCAAGCATCCCTTGTCTAACTAGGAATACTGGCAGCTGCAGGCCTCCAGGAGAGACAAAAGAAGGTCACTGTGTATAATATGAAATTAAACTGAGCTGTGAGAGCAGCCAGAGTCGGTGAGGCTTACCAGTGCTGGGAGAGGTCAGGGGAATGCAGCTCCATCACATCTGACTGGGTATTGGTGAGGAATGGGACAGGATGCAGTTTAGAGCCTGTGAAACAACTGGGAGGCTCAGAGAGCCATTTTGTGCATGTCTGAGAATATGCACCCCGTGTGCTTCAGCTACCCAGAGGAGCTCAGTAGGAAGCTGCAAGGAAGGATTCACACACATATGCCCATGGAGCTTGCCCCAGTGCTGTTACAAGGCCCAGATCTGTGCTGTGAAAGCCCCAGGTGATGTTCTCAGTACTGCTGCATCTCTTCATGTAACCTGGCAGCAGTACTGCACTGTGGGGGTTATAGGGGGCTTGTCTGAGAAATGCTCTTCCAGCCTGGGCTGTTTGGGAGACACTCATGGTGGTCCCTGTCTGGTAGATCAGCAACTGCACTCTGGAAAGCAGAAGGGCTCTGAAACAAAGGAGAGCTGACCAAAGGGCCAGAGAAACACAAATCCAAAGGGAAATGGAGCTTTCCTCTGCTGCAAGGTTAATGCTAGAAGGCTTTCTGTGGGGAGGCTGAGGACTGCTGTGGGGAATGAGAAACCTTGCTCACTCAAATGTGCCAGGAAAAGCCTCTGTGCTTGTGCTAGGCTCACTGTACTGTCTTCTGCTCTGTCTGTTCAGGAACTGCTTTTGTTCCTAGGCACTTTTTTCCCCAAAATTTCTTCCAGCCAAGATGCAACAAATGGGAAGGGTTACACCAAGATAAGTGATTTATTGCATCAGAGAAGTAGCCTTATAAACTTGTGCAAAACAGCAGCAGCCAGCCGTAGAGAAATGGAAGATCTTGGCATCAAACATGGAGGTGAAGAACAATCTGATTGGCACTGATTGCCATCCTGGTGATGTGCCTGCCTCCTCTGTTTCCAGCGCTGGTACTCATCCCAGTTGTTGGAGAGCTAGCCAAAACCTGGCCACTCCTGCAGGTTTTGAGCATGTTGGCTCTGCCAGCTTGTTCATGGGGTGGTTAGATGAGCAGCAGCACAGGAAGGGTGGGACATGACTGTTGAAATTCTGGTGGGAGATAGCAGCCTTGGTGAGACTGGGCTCCACTGCAACAGCAGATGACCAAAAAACTCCTTTTTTGAGCATAAATAGCCCACTGCCATCCTAAAAGGCTGAGAGCAGTAAGTACAGCCACAATTCCTGAATGATGTTACACTGGTTTCTCAGGCAACAGTATGCCAAAGACAGGTTACGGAAAGTACCAGAAGTTGTAAATTTAAACTAATATATGTAGCTGCTGAGGTTCCTGTTGTTCCCTGTAGAGCCAGAGCTGGTGTAAATATTGCAGAACCAGGTCAAAGAGAGGCTTAGCTACACCACTGTCAAATGCCAGAATAAACCTGGGTTATGAAAGGGGTTGAGGTTGAGGAGCTCTAATAACTTGACAAATTATTCAGTGAAACTCCAAGATACTTGGCGAGAAAATGTAGTCTCACATCCCACGTACAGTGGATTTTGAGGGGTGACTGTGTGCTAGTATTCTTACTTTCTAAATGAATGTTGTTTTAAAAAATACAAACCTGAGATAAGAGAGGGCTCTCTAACTCCTTTAGCTATTATATAACACCTTGTTATGTGCCTGAGATATGGTCTCCAAAAGGCTCGACTGCATGCTCAGGACAGGGGCTTGAATCTCAGCCCTCCTACTCAGACAGCATCACTGGCAATTTGAACTCACTGTGCTGAGCTGTTCACAAGCAGGCAGCTGTTGGGAGAGTTTAAGTGCACCTTGCCCTTTCTTTCTCCAAAAACAAAAAGTGGGCTGAGACATCTCACAGGCTGGATATGACTCATGAATTTGATAGTCTTTGGTGGTTTGTCTCTTACAGCCCTGGATCAC